AGGAAAAGGGAAAGGAAGAGAACAGAAGAAAGGAAGCGAGAGTGGAGAGAAGGAGAAGAAGGAAGAGGGAGAAGTGAGAGGAGGAAGATCAGGGATGGTAGAGAGATTGATGATGCTCTCTGATTGCAGTTGACAGCTTCCAATTTACTGCTTCAAATATCCAGACATGATCAATTGGAGCATTGTTTGCTACTGAGTTAGTAGAGGGAGCCTCAGGGGACATATGTGGAAGCCAACTACAGGATTATTCCTATTCTGTCTGTTCTACTCCTATCTAGAGTTGGACGGGATCATTTTGGTGATCAAACAAAGCTCGATGCTTCTTTGTAGTGTAGTAATTAAAGTGCTGGCATAGAAACTAGGAGATGGTAAATTCTAATCCCACTTTAGGCCAAGTCACCCAGCTGATTTCAGGCCTATTTCACAGGGTTATTGGTTCCAGGGAAAATAGGAGGAGGAAGGAGTATTAGGTAGGTTTGCCATTTGGTAGTAATAAACGTGGGATAACAATCTATTCAACAAATAAATAAAACGCCCATAAAATTATTCTCACCTCTCAGGAGCTGGTGATATCATGTTGCCCCTAGACTCAAGGCTTCCATGTGGCAGATGGGCCAAGAAGCCATTTCTTAACCCCTCTTCAACGAATATTATTTTGTGCCCTCTAAACCAGGGATGGAAAGTTCTTCGGATTTGATTTCTAAACTCCAAATTGTGAGTCACTCAATGGAGAAAATGATAAGACTGTTGCTTCTATTGCTCCAGATGTTTGCATTTCTACAAATTCAACACAAGGTTGTGTGAATTCTGTTGCTGCAGTTCTCTCACCACCGTGCCTGACAAATCCATAAGCAGGAAACCCAGATATTGGGATCCATTTCCCACCCAAGCTTCATGAAGAAGTCTTGAAAACCTTGGTACCAAGAGGACCAGATGCTTAAACCTCTTTGCCCACATTAACCACTATTAATTTTAACCGCCAATCAATTAGCTGCCAATCAAGGCACCGCCCTCATGGAGGAAGAGAGCCAGAAGATGCCAGCCTTCAGCCTTTTCTCCCCTGGTCTCCAGAACAACCTTGATCCTCATAGCCACCGAGAGGTACCCCCGCAACTCCAGCCCCTGGCTGCGGAAGCTTCCCAACTGGCTTCTCTGCCAACCTCCGTGTAGAAGGCCATTCGCTTCCAGGAAATGATGGCGACCAAGCGGCTGAGCATGCTGGAGGAAAAGATGGATGTCCGTGTGCCACCCTGGCAATGCAGCACCTGTTCCCTGCTTAACAACTCAGGGAGTAAGGCCTGGTGAGGCTTACGGTAGCCAGAAGGGCAGTGACATCATCAATCTGATGGGGGACACTGTTCATTTTGTACCCTGGGGGCCAAGGGTGGGATTCAAATTTTTAACAACTGGTTCTGTGGGCGTGGCTTAGGTGGTGGGCATGGCTTGGTGGTCATGTGACTGGGTGGGCATGGCTTGGTGGTCATGTTATTGGCTGGGTGTGGCCAACTCAATATCACATCGAGGCACGCATCTCCTCGCCTGGCCTCTCATGACTGTAGGGATACTGCAACAGTCGTAAGTGCAAAAAATGGTAAATACCAGTTTTTGGTTTCTTCTCCTTGTAAATATCATCTATATCATCATCAATTTTCCTCCCCAGTTTTTGATCCATTGAAGAAGTCCAGAGCTGAGCAGGGCTATGTAACAGGGGTGGGATTCAAACTTTTTAACAACCGGTTCTGTGGGCGTGGCTTAGTTGGTGGGCATGGCTTGGTCATGTAACTGAGTGGACGTGGCTTGGTGGTCATGTTATTGGCTGGGCGTGGCCAACTCAATATCACTCACATCGAGGCATGCATCTCCTCGACTGGCCCCTCATGACTGTGGGGATGCTGCAACAGTCGTAAGTGCAAAAAATGGTCATAAGTCACTTTTCTCAGTGCCATTGGTCACTCCACACTAGCAAAGTACCAACAATGGAGGGGGAAAAAAACTCAAGAGACGTTCCTGAGACAGGAAGTCTAGTCCTGCCAAGAATGTAATAAGGGTTAATGGAGAGGCAGTTTCTGTAAGCAACACCAGAATGTTTCCTTCCTGCCTTCCTTACAGGATTAGGCCAGTAATTTCTTCTAACAACCAGTTCTCTGAACTGCTTGGAATGTTAATAACCGGTTCTAGCGAATAGGTACGAATTGGTAGAATCCCACTCCTGCTGTGGGGCCTCCAGCCCCGACTTCACTCCCTGGTCCTGTTCCAAGTGCACCTTGAAGAACCCCCTCAGCTTCGCAGAAGTGCAAAGCTTGCAGCTCCTCCAAACTGCATGGCTTTCAGGAACATAGCTTGCATCTGACAAAGGCAGGTGTGTGTCTTCTGGAAGCCCAGATGGGACCTTGGAGGTCTTCTAGTCCAACCTTTCCTTCTCAGGAGGGAAACCCTATATCATTTCAGACAGATGACTGCCCAATCTCTTCTTAAAATCTCTTCCTAAGATCTCCTGCTTGGGGAAGGGGTTGGACTAGAAGGCCTCCAAGGTCCCTTCCGACTCTGTAATTGTGTATTCTAATCCTCACACTTCCCTCAGAAGGTTGAGCTGTAGTAAGCAAAACTTGTTACCCATGCAAACAACAGGCGACCATATTGAGGACTGAAAGATCATAGGTTGAATATTAGGTAAGAGATATTAAAGATAGTAAAAGATTAGGTAAAAGATGGGTGCTGCAGTGGTGACAGGCAATAGCAAAATATCACACATTGGCTTACCCAGAAGAAGGCTCACAAATTCAGCTGGGCCTGACTGGTCTCTTGCTTGTAGAGAGACATGAAGCCATATGGACAGAGAAGGTTTGTACTCTAAGATTTAATTTCTGGCTATTTCCTGTTACCTTTCTGAAGCAATAAACATATGTCATAGCTTGAAAGACCATTGCTCTAGGCTGACGTAACTGTGGAACTGCCTGGGTTAGTAGAAGAAGGAGGCGGCAAATTGTGTTAAAGCTTTGGAAGCCGACAATTCAAAGTTGTAAACCAACCCACAGTTTATTTTCATTTTCATTTTATTTATTTTATTTGTCAATCGCTCACAAGATAATAGGTATAGGTATAAGCATGAGTAAGAATACAGGAAATAGGTACAAATAAATGGGGACAATAGGACAATTATCTACATTTGGCTTCTCCCTTTAAAGTCCAGAGACAGAACTAGTAAAAATCAACAAAGTGTGGTAGATATCAGACCAAGTTTGCAAAAAGCAAACATCAAGCAAAGACAATCTCCAATTGAGGAATAGAAATCAAAGTAATGGATCATATAAGGTGTGGTCAGGAATTGTGCTGGAAATTCAGATACAGTTGTCTCCTCCCAGTCCAAAGTTTAACAGAACCAGAGAGTTGGAAGGGATCTTATTAGTCTTCCCGAATAGAAGGTAGCGTATTTAATATAAAATAAATGTTGAAAATATTTATCAATTTCCATGTTAATCAACAATGGAAAAACGACCTTTGAACAGGTATCATTGATTGTAGCTGTAAAGTATAGGATACCCTGTGCTTTGCTACAAAACTATGTGGTCGGGCTTAGTTATTGGGGAGGAAAATAAGGGGGGTGGAATTCTGCCTCTGCCTACCGGTATTCATTTGGCTAGTATCCTATCAGTGTGTGAGAGAGTTGAGGGCTGTTTGGAAACTGAAGCAATATTTGCTGTGTGAGCAAGAAGGAGACAGCAAGGAGCCTGGGCGTGACTTAGTGTTGAGGTAATTCCCCATTAGGAGAATGAGTGCATACAGGGAGACGTATTTGAGAGAAGTGTTTGAACAATACACACACAGAACACAGATACACTGTACAGTAAATGTAGGTTTTTACTTCCAGAAACGTTAAGCAAAGTCCAAAATAGGCAGTCCAAAGTCATTCACAGGTAAATCAGTCAGTTTTCAATCCAGGGATAATTCAATAACAAAGTCCAGTGTCAAAACAGTTCAGTAACAGACTTACATTAAATCCAGTAATATCAGTCAATTGGAAGAAATGGCAATACTCTCCAACAGAAGAAAACAGAGACTTACTCACACTCTCTTCTGAGACTAAGGCTAAGACAAACCAGGTTTCTGGCTCCATCTTATGGCCGTTTGAGAAACCGCACCTAATTACAGTTTTGCATTTTCTTAAAGATACAGTTTTAAAATGTTTATCCAGGTTTATATATTTCTAACCCAAATACCTGTTAGGTGACTTATATTCCTAACATTCTCCCCCTTTGGGTAAGACAATACATACAATCTTACATTCTAAGTCCATAATCTTCACAGCTAGCCTTATGCTTTATAGAGCCTTGGGCCTTTGTAAAATGATCTGCTATATTGTTTTCTGACATATAGTATTCTAACATAATCATTTTACTTTGCACACATTGTCTCACATTTAAATATCTTAAATCTGTGTGTTTCATTCTTGTTTTAACAGCAATATTTGAAGCCATCTGTATTGCTGATTGATTATCTTCATAAACAACAATAGAATCTGTTACATCAATTCCCATATCAATCAATAATTGTTTATACAAAATTAAATCTGTACATAATAAAGACAAACATGAGAATTCAGCCTCCATTGTTGACAAACTTAGATGTTTCTGTCTAATAGAGCTCCATCCAATCAATGCTTTTCCCAATAATACAGCAGTACCCGATGTAGATTTTCATGTATTTATGTCTGTAGCAAAACTTGCATCAGCATATGCAGTCAAATTCAGTTCATCTTTAGGCTCCAAATACAATGCATAGTGCATTGTTTGTTTCAGATATCTTAACACATGTTTAGCAGCTTGCCAGTGCCTTTCAGTTGGCTCAGCATTAAATCTCGCTAATTGATTAACACAGTATGCAATATCTGGCCTTGACCAATTACTGAGATAAGATAAACTACCAATCAAAGACTGATAAATGTTCTTATCAAAAATAGGACTTTGAAAATCACTATGGCTAAACTCCTGGCTCATTGGTGTCTTAGCCAGCTTAAAAAGTTGCATTTTAAAACTTTTTAGTAATTGGTTAATTTTATCTGCCTGTGAGATCTTGTATCCTCCCCTAGTTCTATCTATCCTTAAACCAAGATATTGTTTGATTTCTTCTAACTGTTTTATCTTAAATTTCTTTTCCAACAGTGAAATTATCTCAGTAGCTTCTTGTTCAGTTTTGGTGATTAATGCTATGTCATCAGTAAACAATAGCAACAATGACACTATACCATTACTTTCCTTTTAAACAAACATGGATCAGCCATGCCAGCTACAAAGCCTATCTTAGTTAATTCTTTAACTATACATTGGTTCCACTCATATCCTGATTGCTTCAATCCATAAAGACTCTTTTTCAATTTCCAGCAATCAGTTGTATTATCATTTTTGAGACCTAAAGGTTTCTTTAAATGTGTTGCAATGGTGCATGCAGATACATCTCTACATCCAAATGATTTACAATGTATTTCTCTTTAGCTGCCCACACTAATGCTGCCCTTAATGTCATAGTCTTTAGACTAGGTGCAAACACCTCATCATAGTCATTTGCTGTCTGATTAAATCCTTGTGCTACTAACCTGGCTTTATGGGTAACAGTCCCATCTACACCTGTCTTCAGTTTATATATCCATTTACATCCTATGGCATGTTTACCTGGTGGTAACTTAACATTTTCATATACCTCCAGTCTTTTTAATGATTCCAGTTCCTTATCCATTGCTTTCTGCCAAGCAGCCTGATCCTTAGCAGGATATAATTTTAGTTCATTATAATTACTTGGAACTGTATTCACTTGGCATACAACACTAGCCTGATATCTATCAGGTGGTCGTGTTACACGGGCTGAACGTCTTGGTAATACAGGGCTAACTGGTGGACTTTACTGTGCCATCTGCTCCTGTTCTTCTATTACTTCCTGTGCCTGTTCTACTACTTCCTCCTGTGCCTGTTCTTCCTCTTTAATGGCTATTTGTGGTTTACTGATATCATCTTTAGGGACTATTTGGGTGTCAATAATAATATCACTGCTGGATTCCTGTTCCAGTTTATCCCACCCAACATGCTCTAGAAATTTTGCACTAGCACTACAATAAACATGAGATGTGCCTTGATCCCAAAATCTAAATGATCTATGGTTGGCCTCATAACCCACAAAAAATAACTTCTTAGCTCTATGTTGCCCTTTCAGTCTTACTTGTTTGGGAATATGCACCATGCTGGAGCTCCAAATGTGTGTAGGAAACTTAAATTTGGCTTTCTGCCATGCCAACGAGTGAATGGCAATTCTCCAGTTATTGTATTAACTACATTGTTCAAAACATGGTTACTACACATTATGGCTTTACCCCACAGTACAGCCAAAAAAAACCCAATGATGACATAGATCATACTAGGATTATAATAACTGCATTCATTCCATAAACTAAGCTGCTACGTATATACTTTGCTTTTTTGCTCTGTGAACTCTATTTGGCTGACAGAGAGTGACCTTATTAATTATTAGTTATAGACATAGCAAGCACCATTGAAAAGATTAATGGGCTTCCCATATTTGACTTGAAGATTTTGTTCCAGCTGCCTCAAGCTAAGCCTGTCTAAGTTATTCCACGTATTGTCAGCAATGAATCCCCAGGAAGTTTTGTGGAGGCTTGGATGCACACAACAAACTGCAGTCCAGATATAACTGGGCTTATTCACTCTGCTTTCAGAGATTGAATCTTCACCAGGTACCACACCCGTAATGACATACATTTCACCGCATCCATCTGCATCTTTTCTCATATTACTTAAATATTGTTTCCAGTATCCATTAGCAAGATCTTTAAACTGGGGCACGACGTTGGTTAAGGTGAAGGCTGCATCTTTGCTATCCTGATCCGGTTGATGGGAAAATGGTGCCAGCTGCCCCTTGATGTAGGACAAAACGCCTGCGTAATCCTTCAAAACTGCCTGGCTCTTTGCAAGTTCCTGGGGGTCGATTCCACAATCCTGTTCCGATTCCATGCCTTTGCATTGATGGTCCCAAGGCAGTGCAAGCTAGGAATAAGAAAGGACAAGCAACGTGCCTCATTGGCATTCACACAAGACAGAATCAAATACCCTGAATCTGGAGAAAGATCTACCACGAGTCAGCCAGAGAATGGGGTGTGGGATTGCTGCCATGGGGGTTTGCATAGTTGGGCCATTTCTGGAATTCTGGAAATTGAGGCCCCTGGCTGACCCTCTTGGGGAGCCCACTTTAAACTTTCCTCTAGTAATGAATACACATTGCTGGAGCTTGAAGTATGGTTGAAGGAAAAAGAACTTACCAGCAGATTTTGTAACATTAATTTCTTGAACACTCTTCCAAGCAGCTTTAGAACCTCCTATTCCCCACAATGAAGAAACTGTCATTTTTTTGCCACTGTACTGGCCAATGTAAAGAGATGACAGTAACATTGGCTCCAGTATCCAATACCTCTTGAAATGGTTGTTTATTAAGGAAGAGAGAGGAGTTCAGCTGCTGAAGTAAGCCTACAGATAAAAAGGTTGATCCAAATCCTGCATCCACACAATTACCCATACCAGGAGATGGATTTTCATATAGAAGAAGAAACAATTGAACAACAGAAGAATTACAAGGAAGAACTTGAGGAAGATACACCCAAATCTGAATCATGAGGATACCAGTGTAATCTGAATCCCCAGGCACAACAAAACAGCCCTTTTTGTGTGCAGAAGAACAAGGCAAAATTAAGCCAACTAATCCTGAAGGAAGAGGTCCTTTAAATTGAGATGGAACTATTTTAACTTCCAAGGGAAATTTAAACTCAATTTCCTCTTGAGTGATTAAATCAATCCCAGCACTACCAGCTGTGGCTGGGGAGGAGTGAGAGAGACTGCTGGAAGAGTCAGGTAATATTTGCTTCCAATCTTCAGGGATCATTGTATAACCATTTTTTATTCCTTCTGCAAGTCCTCTTGTAAAATTACCACTAATCCCATAGTCTGTAACTACCTTTTTTAACTCTCCTAAGATCTGATAAGACAGACCCTCCCATTCTGCTACTTGCAGTCCAAGCTGTGGCCCCTGACCAGGACGATATTGTACTGGACAAACAGACAGTAATTCTGCAAGTTCTGTTCCTGAGACAGAGGCATCTTTTTTACAGTTCTCAACCATTTTCTGAAAAGAAGACTGAATAATAGAGTCAGGAGGCTTTTGCCCTGTATCTGCAGGAGCTGAGGGAATGGAAAACATATATTCAGGTGGAGAAGGGGGACAAATGACAGCATTAGTATAATGTGAAGGTGGAGGTGTTAAAAGAGAAAGTTCGTTGTGATCAAATTTTTCAATTGCATGTCTACATAAATGCCACGCATGCAAGACTTCTATTTTTGCTCTAGGTTCAGTATGCAATGTTTTCCCTATATGTTCCCAATCAGTTAATTTTAAAGAGCCCTCTTTTGGATACCATAAGCACTGAGCTGCAATCTCTTGGACCAGCCTTAAGAGATTTTTCTGTGGTACCTCAGTATTATTTTTCTTCAACAAATAATTCATCTACATGCTTCCTTTGTTCTTCAGAAAGCAAAGACCCCCATACTTACAGAAAACAAAAGGTTGAAGAAACCTCAAAGGGTTGAAGCTGCACCAAATCCTTGCCGGACGAAATAAGAGGGTCCCTGTTCAAGCACCACTTGTTGTAATGACGAGGCAGTCGAGGTGTTTGATCATGATCAACTGATTCATGATGAACTTTATTGGAATCTAGTCTTGCATTTATACACATTTTTAGTAATCCTCCAACATGGGTTAACTTTGGTTTCTGCTTGACTTTCGTTATTGTTCAGCATAGTAACTAACACAATTAATGATTTATAGTTAAAGTCTAACACATGTTTACTTCCTCTCTCTAATCCTCCTTTACATTAGTGACTTTGTTTGCCTGAGTTGTATTTACTTGATAAACATTCATTACCTGAGGTTTGCCATCAGATAGGAACATTCCTGCAATTACAACTCTACAATATGGTATTACACCATCTATCATTTGCCAAAGCCATCCTTGCCATACAGTTTGTTACAGGAAAATATCTACTTCATGGGTCATTATGTTTACATTCATATTCAGCAAGTTTTCTATATTGTCCCAAAGCTTGCAACATAAAGATTAAGCAACTTTTGCTAACTGTAATATTTGCAATAGAAGCTAAATAATTTCTGTTAATTATATTAATTAGTATCTGGTATTTTCCCATACTGCTTCATTAGCAATGAGCTGTCATGCCCTTGGTAGAGCCGGACTCTGAGGGAGAGAAGGAACAGCCGACAGGGAGTGGAGGTGTGACTCCGGAGGTTGCGGAGGAGGCTGGGGAAGGGCAGAGGCCGGTTGGGCAGTCAGAGGAAGAACCAGGCCCATCCCCTTTCCATCCTAGGACACACAGGGAGGAATGGAGAAGGAAACAACTTGGCTTACGAGAGAGGAAGTGGCCATGATCCCCCTCATTGGTGGCAGCTGGGGAGACTAGTATATAAGAGAGACGGTTAAAACACAGCGTTGCCAGAAGCAAAGCGTGTTTTATTTTGGGCTGAAGTTATCTTGGTTGGTGTCCTTCCAACAGACTGTGCCTTGTTATCTCCTTTAATATGGTAATTACTTATCCTGGTCCGTTGTGGAAATTTCTTCATTGTAGTTTCTTTGGTTTTTTATTTCACCTCTATCTGCTCATTAAGTTCGGACTGTATTGCTTTCTTTTGAAGACTATTTTTGAGTAAGTTTTATCTCCAACTGACAATTATTGAACAGTGGGACCAAGTTGGCGGCATTAAAGGACATTTATTTACATTTTGGATTTTGTTACGTTTGTGTTACAAACTGGGTCATCACATGAGCCTTTTTCCTGCACATCCCAAACATATAACATTGATAGATAGATAGATAGATAGATAGATAGATAGATAGATAGATAGATAGATAGATAGATGATAGATTGATAATATAGTGCAAAATAGAATGGTCAAATTTCTAGATTGATATACTGAAGGTCACACACAAGGACACAGATCTTTGATAAGTAAGTTTATTGGATGAAGTAAGAAAGCTATTGAGACAGAATTCTAGCAGTCATACATACAAGGATTGCGTGCAAGACACTTTTCTCAGCATTGACATAACATCATACAAACAAATTGTCATAACTTGAGGACTAC